ATAATTAATTTTTCAATTAGCTAATTGTCATAGTATCTACACAAAATATAACAAATGACAAAATACATATAAAATCAACTGTGCATAATCGATTAATTTGTGAAAATCAATAGTTGACAAATTGGTATGCGTATAATTACGAATCTGAGTGCGGAAGTTCTGTGCGATATTATTGTCAACTTTGATCACTTATAACTGGAAAACTACCGTGACCTCCACTTTTCCGTATAAAGATTTTTTACTTTATTTTACCTAGAACATGCTATTAAAGTATGGGATGATGTTTGTGAGACATCCTGTATATACACATATCTATACACACATACTAATAGACTTATAAATTTCGTACATAGATAGATAGTGTTTATTACAATAGTTCACACAATTGTAAAGGGGGCCTCCGGTGGCTCAGTGTGTAGCGCGCCTGACTCACATCCCGGAGATCTCGGGTTCGATTCCCGACTCAACCCTGGCCTGCGCTTTCCCATTTTTCCTTTCCTACCACCTCCCAACAAAAATTCCTTCCTTCTCTCTCTTCTCTCCTTCCAGTATATACGCATAAAAACTGAATTTACACTCTAATATAACCTGTTGTTGGCCCGAATACATGACCCACCCCAGATCATTACGGCCATTTAAATATTAAGAATACAAGAATACACAATTGTAAACACGCGATAAATTGAAAAAAGATATAAAAGTTCCTTATCTGTCTCAAGCAAGCTACATAAAAGTAAAATGAGTACAGTTACGTATAAATAGAAATACAATTGTGCAAAAAAATGTTTTTCTCATGAAAAAGAGATTTCTTTGAAAAATTTTATATGCTTTTGTTTTCATAATATTTTAGAAAGTAGAAAGATAAATTCAACGAATATTGGAAACGTTGCATGATTTTTTCTTATAAATGAAAATATTTGTAATCAATTCTCTATATTACACACCGATTAAATATTGAAGATCTTCGAGGAAAGATAATTAGAATTTATGCAACATAATTACATCTTTCTTTATTTTTATGAATAAGAGTGGTATTTCTAATAATCGTTGAATTTTGATTGATACATATTTCCTACAATATTATAAAAAAAAATATATATATTTTCCTTTTTATTGAAAATATTCAAAATAATTTTGAGTATTCTTCAAAGAAAAAATTTTTATTATCTTCTTATCGCAAAAAGGCTTGTATGAACTAATTAAATTTTGGCTTATAAGTTATTTTTCTTAGATTAGTATAAGTACTTCTCACAAATCGTATGGATCGACGACTATTACAATAAACACCCTGTATATATTATGATATTTTATATTTGTAATCATTTTAGGAAATGTACGTCCATAAGAAAATGAAAATATGCTTATGTATCTACAATTTTCTACATTTTCCTCTTTTGTTATTAAAAGATGCTCCATTTATTATTTTAATTGGTCATTCTTTTATAAACGCACACTTCATAAAATAATAAAAAATATAAAATAACATGATCCATTTTCGAAATAATCTTCCAATTACTGAGACACTAACCTTTGTGCCCATCCTTTCTTCCTAGACAGTCTACGACGATAGAGAGGCAGGTTCTTTTCACTATATTTTTGTACCATTGTCACACTCAATGAACAAATATATTATATACATGTAACACTACTTTCACAATATTTAGCGTTATAAATTTTGTAAACTCTGTTACACACTTATACGGTTCTTCCACTTGATTGTACAAAATACCGCGTATAACGTCGCGTAACAGCGAAATATCGGAAAGTGATTCCAGCGCGATAGATCATACTATCGTGTGTACTCTGTTTCTTTCACCGTATGTACTTGCAGTAATGTACGCGCAAACTCGCAGGACCGACTCGACTGTTTTAAACCCATGTCTATCATAAATGACCCATAAAATCAACTAATAAAAAGTCCATGTTAAACTAAATTTACGAATAATGAATAACAATTTTAAATATACTTTCTCTATAGTTTTTTAAAAAATATGGTAAAAAATAACGAAATTATAGTCCATACACATATATCCCGGAAAAAAGTCCATATATAATTATATATAAATATATAAAATATGTCCATATGTTTTCTTTCTGTCGAATATGTCCGCATATACAAGAAAAATAATAAAAAAAATAATTAAAAAATAATTAAAAGAATTACTTTTGCATTATTTTTTTTTTAAATACAATTTGAAGAAATTAGATAAAATTGTCTATATATAATTATATATGGTCAATTTTTTTCTCTTAATATAATTATATATGGATAATTATTTTAAATTATATTTAAAAAAACAATGCGGATAGTATTCTTCTAATTATCTTTTAATTATTCCTTTCATTATTTCTTCTGTATATACGGATAGAGATTATACAAGAGAAAAAAATGGACATATGGATATATATTATGTACAATTTTATATATTTATTATTATACAGAGTGTCCGGTAAAGATTGTGCCAACGCTCGTGAGCGGCTAGAGCACAGTAAACTGGACAGAAAAGTCCTGTAACATTTTTTTATATAACGCGTAATAAAGGAATTATTATTGAGTAAAATCTGGCCAATCAGCGCCGATTTTTAGCCGGACGCACGTCGGTGAGCCGCCCGCCTGATAGTATGCGGCGGCGCACACTTCACAGCGCGGGGAAGCAGTGCGGCGCGCCGTTAATAAAGAAAGGAAGAAAATTAAACGGCAACATACCAGCAGGGCGTATGGTCAACCAACATACGCACCGACCCAAGTATATGCGTACCCCCAGACAATGTACGCACCGCCGCCTTACGCACCACAGCCGTCCTACGCACAGCTGCCATCCTATGCACTGCCGCCGTCTTACGCACCGCCGCCGTCTTACGCACCGCCGCCGTCTTACGCACCGCCGCCATCCTACGTATCGCCAGCTCAGATCCCAGCCAATTATGTATTTCACCTCCGTTGGCTTACCCAATGCACGTGCCATATGGCTCACCAGCCGCACCAGTCACACATACTTATTTGCACACATACAAATAATACATGCATGTACATTGTTTATATGAGCCGTTTATTTTGAAAGTGGTGTAAGTCCACTTTTGATAGTTTCAGTTTATTTTGTATTGTGTTTGATTGTTTTAAGATAGAGTTTGCATTTCAGTTTATTCCAATTGATCGATTTTTCTTGAAATTAGGCTTACACCACTTTCAAAATAAACAACTCATTTATCTTATATAAAACCGTATCTAACATATAAGAAATATAGAGTTATGTTGATATGTCATGTAAGTTTAAAGATTTATAAGTTTATAAATGTATAAAAAAGTTTATAAGTATATAAGTATAAGTTCAAAATTATAGAGTTATGTCTATAAAAAAGAAAAAGAAAAGGTGTAATAAATACAAATAAATTTTGTCTTTAGTTTAATAATAAAGTTTATTTTCTATTTATCCGCTCCTTCTCTTCCTGCATCTCCTGCTTTTCCCCTTCCTACATCAAAAAAATTAAAAGAAACATAATGCAAAAGAATAAAAGCTTATTCTCTTACAAACGTGTGTGTGTGTGTGTGTGTGTGTGTGTGTGTGTGTGTGAGTGCGCGCGTGTATATATGTGTGTGCATGCGTGCATGCGTGTGTGTATGTGCCTGTGTGTATATGAAAAAAATAGCGTTATTACATCTCCTTATTTAGTTTTATAGTCATATTCATGTAATCAATGTGTGTCAATTTACTGGAATTTGTATGTACATACTGTGTTACTCTCACACACATGAAAGAGACAAAGATAGTACGATTATGTCTGTCCTTGTCAGCTAAACAGATTGCAGCTTCATCTATCACGCTACCCGGCAACTAATCTATTGCTCTGTTTTACTCCTCGACATCGATTCCGCACACACACACATGTACACTAAATCAGTTCATATACTAATCTTTTTACACAGGCTTCCAAGCTCATTTCTATCAGTCTAGTATTATTCTTTCATCTTATCCTGAATGTGGGCGCTATATCTTTTGCACGAACAAACTGCAGAATTTTTATATTAAATAAGTATTGTTACGACCTGATGCAAGAGGCCGATAAGAAAACTGTAATTATTTAACTTTTTGGGGTTTTTTACATTAAATTATAGCGTCCACACATCGTTATTATGAGTACTTTAATTCTAGAAAAGGATTTTTCATTCTGTATAGCCAATAAAAAGATTAGTACTTGAACTCATTCTTCGCGTTTTGTCGGTAATTTTGGATCCCCTTAAGGTAGGAATTTTTTATTTCCGTTTCTCTTATTATTTATTCTATTTTTTATTTTGTTCGTGCATTCTCTTTCTCTTTCTTCTTTTTCTTACTCTTTAATTTTCGATAAATGGTTTTAATCGATTTATGTGGACGCGTATGGTTTTCCTTCCCGCAATCTTCGTAGGACTTCGATGAGTTTCTTGTTATGATCTTGTAAGCTGGCTCCGTAGATTACGATATCATCTAAATATACTAAGCATTTTATTCCTTATATGCCTATCAGTATTGAATTCATTAGCCTTTGAAATGTGGCTGGCCCATTTTTTAATCCGAAAGGCATTCTATGAATGATGCCTATCATATTTTTATTCGTAGCTACTTGGATTATTGTTTCACTACGGGGTTGCAATGTGGTTCTCTGATAGGGATATAATTTCAAAGTATTCCGTCCGAGTCTCAATTGTTTCTTCGAGTAATTGCAACTGGCTCCTTGTTTCTTCAGGAAGTCTACTCCTAATATTCCGTCGTATTCGATCGGAAAATCATCTTTTACGACATACATTTTATGTTTCACTCTACCGTCGTTTAAAATTGTGGCGTTGATTCTTCCTATCGTATATACTTTATGCCCTGTTACTCCTGTAAGCGCTATTTTATCTTCTGTTATTAGCGTTTCATCTTTTAAATGCTTTAGTTTAATTAGTGATATAGCGGCTCCCGTGTCGAACAATAAATTTATTTTTCCTTTTTTCGATTCTCGCATAGGTAAAGCGACTAAGTCTAGTATCCGGATGCTAAATCCAGAGTTGTAAAGTACTTGGCGTTTCCAAGTTGATCTAATATATCCGTTATATTCGGTAAGGGAAATGAATCTCCTATAGTTAGATCATTTAATTTTCTAAAATCTACGACTACTCGTAATTTCGGTTTTCCTGACGCATCGGCTTTCTTAGGGACTACCAATAACGGTGCGTTCCATTGGCTCATGCTTGGTCGGATTATTTTATTTTTTAACATTTCTCGGACTTGTCGATTTACTTCTTCTTTATGCTTCTCCGGCAGGCGGTAAGGCCGTACGTTGACCGGTGAGCTATCTGCTTGCGTTGCAATCTTATGCGCGACGGTATCTGTGCACGTCAGTGGTTCTCCTTCGATATGCATCACGTCGCTAAAATCCTTGCAGATTTCCATTATCATTTTCTTTTCTTCTTTATTTAAATGTTGTGTACGTAATAATCGTAATACTTTTTCACTACGCGGGATTACTTCCTCTTTATTTGGCGTTCGTATTACGTTAATTTCTTCTGTTTCACTTCGTTCGATTTCCTCTACACTTACTTGCGGCATTAACATTTCGATTATGTTATCCGTTGTATTTAGAATGCTTGCTGCACATATGTAATTCGTAGGTTCTACTAGGCAATTACCTATAAATATTCCTGGTATTGTTTCTTCTGCCTTTATCACGCCTATCGTGTTCTTATCAGTAGCGACCTGTATTATAGTTTCGCTACGTGGTTTCAATGTCACTTTTAGATAGGGATAAAGCTTTAAGATATGCTGTCCTACCTTTAATTGCTTTGTTTTATAATTGCAAGTGGCTTGATGTTTTCGTAGGAAATCAACGCCTAGTATTCCGTCATATTCTATCGGAAAGTCATCCTTAACAACGTACATAGTATGCTTGATTCGGCGCTTTTCCAGAGTTATTGTCGCCTTAAATTTTCCAATTGTACATATTTTATGTCCCGTTACGCCGGTGAGCGTTATCTTTTCTTCTTTTATTAACGTTTCGCCTTTTAAATGTTTCACTTTAATTAGTGATATTGCGGCTCCTGTATCGAATAGCAAATTTATTTTTTCGCGTTTCGCTTCTCGCATTGGTAATGTGACAAGGTCCAATCCTGTCTGTATATGCGGCGTATTTTTAAAGTGTGATACTTGATATTCAATTGCAGGTCGGTGCGATTTTCTTTCGTTCCTTTCCTCCTCATCGCTACTTTGCGCGGAGTTAAATTTCTTTTTTCCTTGCTCGCTATTCTTGCGGTTTTTATTTTCCGGTCGCGAATTATATTGTTTGGTTCGGCTCGATTGATCTCTATTGGGTCGTCCGTGTAATAACCAACATTCTTCGCGATCGTGTCCGGATTTTTTGCAATAATTGCAGTATTTATTTATCGTATTTACGTGGGGTTGTCTATCGGGTTTCGGCAATGAAAATCGGTTCGCGTATCGACTAGTTCGACAATCTCGACCGTAATGCCCGGTTTTTCCGCATTTTTGACATTTTACAGTCGTTTGATTTCCCTGTTTATAGGTCGGTGTAAAATTGATTTTGCTTGGCGTGCCGGTCGCGGACAGTCCTTTAACTTTTTCTTCCGCGCTGGCCGCTGCTATTGCTTCTTGCAACGTAGCATATCCTCGCGATCGAACAATTGTTTTAATTTCGTCTTGCAATCCTATTTGGAAATTTTCTAAGGCTTGTTGCTGTATTATTTCCATAATTGTGCGTTTATTATTTACTGTATGATAACGTCCTTCCATCATCGATTCGTACAGCTCCATGGCTATTTTGTCGGCTCTAAGTCGGTAAGTTCGCGCGCTTTCTCCGTTTTTCTGTTTTAGCGTGTTAAATTCAATTTGTAGATGGGTCGTACTCTTTTTGCTTGCGTAACAGACCTCTAATTCTTGTTTCAACTGTGCGAAATCTTGAATTTTACGCGTTTGAAAGTCTAGCATCGCTCTGCCTTTTAATTTCGTGCATAATACTGTTCCTAATAGCGTTACTTCATCTAACGGGTCAATATGTTCTACTGCATATGTAGTCGCGCTCAGAAATTCTTGCAATTTATTTGGCGATCCGTCGAATTCCGGAATCATTCCGCGAGCCTCTTTTAATGGTAAAAATCCGCGTCCTCTTCGATGTCGTACATCTTCGGGTGTGGACTCGTACGCGGTTTCGGTTCTTTCTCCCGGCGGAGTTCTATGCTCATTGTTTTGTCGGGGTTACGGTCCTCTCATTCTTAAATCGTATATCTCGGCATGCATACTTCTAATTTCCCGTCTCATTTCCCGCAATATGTCCCTAAGGTCGGCTGCTTCGTCCGTTTCTTTCCGCGGTTTGTATTGAGCTTGCGCGTTTGATTGTGTCGCGTTTCTATTTGCTTCTTCTTGTAATCGCTTAATTCCCTCATCGATATCTTCCGATGTGATGGGGTGCGATGCGGAAGCGTTTGAGTTATACATGTCTCGAGTACGATAGATTTCGTCGGGGTCAAAGATACTCGAATCGTACGACGTTAGTGAGAATTCGCGGCGGTGTGTTAGTCTACTAGACGCGCTTATTGATGATTCGACATCAATATCTAGTTCTATATTATTCGCTATTAAACTGTTGTCTAATTCGCCGAATGAAAATTCGCGTTCGATTACAACGGTTGCTCCGAGTTCTGGTTCGGACAAATTCTCGCTTGAATTTAATTCATTTAAATTTCTTCGTACGTTATCGCGTATATCCCGGAGTGCTTCTACTGCTACTCTTATAGGGCTTACTGCGCTATTTCTAATGGCTCTATTCGCTGGTTCGCTAAATAGCCACGATTTATTCGCTACGCTTTTTTGTTGCGCGTTTCGGTTTTCCGACATTCACGCGTTTACAAATTTTTAATTGTTCGACTTACAAAAATACGATGAGCAGCATTGTCTCTCGTTCGGTGTCGGACGTCGGGCGTCGATCGTCGCGTGCTGTTGAGATAGGTCGGTGCGCCTTCTCAGGTTCCGCTTATCGTTGTCGCCTCGATGTACCGGGTGACTCGAAGTTCCTGATGGATATGTAGTCGCGCTCAGAAATTCTTGCAATTTATTTGGCAATTCGTCGAATTCCGGAATCATTCCGCGAGCCTCTTTTAATGGTAAAAATCCGCGTCCTCTTCGATGTCGTACATCTTCGGGTGTGGACTCGTACGCGGTTTCGATTCTTTCTCCCGGTGGAGTTCTATGCTCATTGTTTTGTCGGGGTTACGGTCCTCTCATTCTTAAATCGTATATCTCGGCATGCATACTTCTAATTTCCCGTCTCATTTCCTCTCTCATTTCCCGCAATATGTCCCTAAGGTCATCGGCTGCTTCGTCCGTTTCTTTCCGCGGTTTGTATTGAGCTTGCGCGTTTGATTGTGTCGCGTTTCTATTTGCTTCTTCTTGTAATCGCTTAATTCCCTCATCGATATCTTCCGATGTGATGGGTTGCGATGCGGAATCGTTTGAGTTATACATGTCTCGAGTACGATAGATTTCGTCGGGGTCAAAGATACTTGAATCGTATGACGTTAGTGAGAATTCGCGGCGGTGTGTTAGTCTACTAGACGCGCTTATTGATGATTCGACATCAATATCTAGTTCTATATTATTCGCTATTAGACTGTTGTCTAATTCGCCGAATGAAAATTCGCGTTTGATTACAACGTTTGCTCCGAGTTCTGGTTCGGACAAATTCTCGCTTGAATTTAATGCGCTTATATTTCTTCGTACGTTATCGCGTATATCCCAGAGTGCTTCTACTGCTACTCTTATAGGGCTTACTGCGCTATTTCTAATGGCTCTATTCGCCGGTTCGCTAAATAGCCACGATTTATTCGCTACGCTCTTTTGTTGCGCGTTTCGGTTTTCCGAATTCACGCGTTTACAAATTTTTAATTGTTCGACTTACAATAATACGGTCTCTCGTTTTGTTGATTCCACGAAATTTTTCTTCCTCGTGGTTGTGGACTTTTGCCGGTGTCGATTTTGTTAGAGCTGGCGTATCCCACCGCTGCCACCAATTATTGTTGTTCCTCTAGCCGCTAAGGAAGAGGTCTTTAGGGATTTATACGCCCAAAGGATTAGGATCCACGCTCGAAATAAGACACTCCCGGACGTTAGGTATAAATTATTACGTTTTTGTAATTGTTATTATTATAAGTGAAATATATTTACCTAACCTAACGTACGTTGTCGATGGTAATGCATTAGAAGATGGGCTATATAGCCGCCGATATCTTCATCCTCCTTTTTTTCCATAGCTAGTCGGTATGTTATAATTTCACCTGCTATATTTAATAGACGGACATCACCGCCAAAATGTCCCAAGCAAAATACTATCGCCAATGCATCACTCGAACAGCTGTTGGCGGCCTTTTTAAATAAGCGATAATTGTTTTTGCTATCTTCCTCCGATTTGCGGTCGAGATATTTTTTGACATCAAATCGTGGTAGAGCAACAGCACACAATACTGATTTTTCTTAAAATTTCAGCGACACACATTTTCGCACACTCGGACTTCACTTAACTTAACACAAAAAAATTTCAAGAGGTGGAAAACTAATGTTGGATTTTCCATGGGAAATCAGAATTTATACATAATCCCCCCACTGTTTTCCAAAAGGACAATAAAGTGGGGAAAAAAGTTTCCTTATTCTAGCACTGCCTATTTTTAGTTATTTTCATTTTATGACCGGCTAATTCCCCTTAGTTTCTATAGGGTTTCGCATTTGTCGCGCCGAAAGAAATTACGTTACCTCAACCAATGAAAGAATAATAAAAAAACAGGCGTTAAAAAGTTCAAACGTTTGGAACATTATACTGTAAAAGGAAAGAGGGGAGATGAAAAAAATTTAACAATTTAAGTAAAAAAAAACATCCTACATTTATTGATATTAATTTTACATAAATCAATATTCTTATTACATATAATTAAAATATTACATAGGAGTACATCGTCTATACCGTATTACAATTCGAATTACATGATTAAACACGGCAACGCATAGCGTAAAATGTTTCACTTGTTTCTTTTTTCGCGAAGAAAAATTTTACGAAATAAGTGTACGATTAAGCGATCGTTATGTTCGCAATCTTCGGTAAAAAGACTAAGAAACCGATTAAGATCATAACCGTTGCACATATAATATAAAAATACGCAACTATATTGTCCACATGTTTGAGAAAAAATTCCTTGTAATTGTTGAATATTCCAACGATGGATGATGGAGTTTCGACGAAGTCGGAGGAGAAATCCGGGGTGCAAGGGTGGTATTCCGTAGCTGTCGAAGTATGTGCCTGTATCATGCTCGTCGAGGAAGATGGCGACTCAATGTTCTCCAGGTCGATTGTGGTCATCAGTATTAGCGACGATGGCTGTCGACACCCTCGGGACTCTGTCGGCTGGATAAACTCCCGCATGCCTGGCATTGATGTGGTGCAATGCTTGTAGAATTTCGCGAGAGTTCATTATTTTGGTACGGAGGCGAACGAACGAGCGGTATTATATATTCAATAACTTCGGTTTTTACCTCCTTCGCTACTGCGTCTTTTGTCGTGCCGGCTTGTAACGCTGAGTTTTCAATGTCAGCTTGTGTGGAGTTAGTTGCTTCGAGCTTGTCTCTATCCATCAACGATGATAATTCAGATTTTTCAAATTTCTCTTCTCCTTTTTCTATTGATCGCTCGGATTTTTGCAGATTTTTTTCTCTATTTCATTTCTATCGCGCGAAATCTCATACGCGCTACTGATTTCCTCGTTTTCGTCGTTTTCGTTTTCAGCGTCCTCGTCGTCG